GGAAGTGATCTGCCCCGGGCTGGGATGTGACAATTGGTATCAGAGCCTAACCCTAACTGCATGTGTGCCGACGAGGACGTCGGGCCCCTAAGGGGGGTGGATTATAACATCCCACATCGCCCAGGGGAGTGATCCTTAAATGTATATTCCCATCCCTACCTAGCACGAGGCCTTTCGAGAGCTCACTGGCTTCAGGTTCCATAGGAATTCCGAAGTCAAGCGAGAAGGGGGGCTAGAGCAATCCCATGATGGGTGACCCATTGGGAAATTGCTCGTGAGTTCCCAAAAACAAAACCGTGAGGGAATGGTAAGCCCAAAGCGGACAATATCGTGCTACGGTGGTGGAGCGGGCTCGTGAAGTGATTCACCCCGGGCCGGGATGTGACACATATATAGTGGGCGGCTACTAAGCCAGGGAAGAATCCTGGTCTAAATTTGCCCCAGAAATAAGTTTTGGGTTAAAACTCATATTTGCCCCAAGAGTTGGGCAAGTTTTGGTGGATTTAGAACTTAAAATTTGAGTTTTATTCCAAGGTTGGAGTAGGTCTAAAGGTATTTAGGACAACTATTAGTTTTAGATTATAATTCTTATGATGCTTTAAAATTGTTTCTAATTTGATAAGCCAGTTGGTAGAATTATAATTATTCATGGTGTTGCTTATGGATCTTTTTAAGGTTTTTGTTCAACCAGTTTGTTGAATGATGATCATGTTATTCATTATGTTTAAGTAATGAGATGATTGAAACTAAATATTATTTGTTAATACAGAGTTTGGCATGGATGAGTGTGAGCAAACCATTTTGGTTTTATTTTGCTAGCTAATTCACGTCTGTGAAGTTATAATCCATTTTGTCCTTATAAATCGAATTGCAGTTTGATTAAGCAAGTGGTTGAATTATTACTTTATTACTGATTGTGTTTGAGTAATGTGGAAGTTAGCATAATTTGTTGTTAACTGAAGCTTAACATTATTGTTATTAAGTTTGGCTAGATGAGTGGGAGTGAATAATTTTGGTTGCCCTATAAGTGAGTTCACATTTTTATATACAACTTGGATATTAGTAATCTTGAACCAATTTGCATTATGTAGCAGCATAGGTTTTTTGGTTCTATGTTTTGAAATGTATGGTGTCACACCCCCGAATCCATGATTCATATAATATTGGAATATGACATGTGTATATGTGGCGTGAGTCATTTTAAAACAGTAAAAATTTATAAGATCTTAGAAAATACAAAACTTTTATTGATAGTCAAGAGCGGTTTGAAGTATATAAGTTTACAATACCTAAGTAAAAAGCCTTTGTAACATTTCAGTTGATACAAAATGCTTTTTATTATAATATAGATAAAGATCGCCCTATCCCATTGATTCTACTCATTACCTGAAAAACAGAGGTGTAGCATCATAACACAAAATCACACCATGATCTAGTTACATAAGCGTAATCAGGCACAAAGTTCATATATTTCCATGTTCAGAATATAACTTCTCATTCTAGTGAAACTCATATTTAGAGACTAGTAAAAAAACATAAATCATGAACTTTCAACATAATAAACTGCAACGTGTTAGAGTTCACTAAAACTCAAACGGCGTACACCTATAGGTTCAACTTCTCATAGCCTATTAGGTATAATAGTGTACTATCTGAAGGGACTTAAGCCCATGGTTTAACTTTCCAAAACTTCCCAAGGGTTTCAACCATTATTTCACTTCGTGTATGGGTGCTAAAGTGCTCATTCGTATAACTTCCCAAACAACAATTTCTTTGAAATACAAGTTTCAAGTAAACATATATGTATGTGAAACGTAAATGCTACTTATGAGTATATAAGCACAAGCATTAATGTTTGAACCAAATAAACACATAAAACATAATTTGACAAAGACTTTCCAACATACTAGTCATAAAAAAGCCATCTAAAACATTTCGTACAATTGTTTATGTTCCCCATTTAAGTGTCATTCCTAACCTTCCCACAATCTCTTTGATTTTTAGTGCTAATTATAGGCTTTAAGTTGATATAAGGGGAAAATAAAACGATTTGAAAACGAGACAAAACGATTGATGCAAAATGGAGGATAGTATTCAAAAAGGACTCTGTACATAGTTGATTTTGTGGTACCCTGCTCTCTGTGTAGAAAATGTTTAATCACCAAGATTTCCAGATTTAAAAGTTAAGGTTATAAGCTTCAAAATGATAAAAAGATCAGAAACGATTGAGATATGGCCAAAACAAAATGGATGACAGTTGTAGTAAAACAGGACTGCACTAGGTAACTTTCGAGCTTAATTTCTCTTTGTACGTTATGTGTTCAGTCACCAAAGTTTCCAAATCAAAACTTGACATTATAAGTTTTAGATTGATATAAAGTTCACTAAAATCGGTTGAGAAATGAGTGAGTTACAAACAAAACAAATCATGTAAAAATGATTAGTTTTCCGGCAAAGTTTACTAGGTTGTTCTTGAATGGTTTTTATTTATTTTTTATGGTTTTTAGTGATAAAAGACTTTAAAAAAATAAAGCACTGAAGTTCAAAATAGATGTTAGGATTATGTATAACTATAAGACCAATTTGAACAAAGGGAAATAAAGAGTTTCACGATTATTTTTTGCTATCGGAAAACTCATAGGGACGCCCAAATTGGGAGAAAAAAAAAAAAAAAAAACTGTTTGGATGTTGATAAAGATTTACCTCTAACATCTTCGTTTCTTAACTTTTTTAGGTGATTCAAAAGTCAAAATCGAAGCCTTTTTTGTCACATCCCAGTCTAGGCTCCGCCGTAGCACGATATTGTTCGCTTTGGGCTAAACATTCCCTCACGGTTATGTTTCTGGGAACTCACGACCAATTTCCCAATGGGTCACCCATCCTAGGAATGCTCTCACCTGAACTCGCTTAACTTCGGAGTTCCAATGGAACCTGAAGCTAGTGAGTTCCCAAAAAGTCTCATGCTATAGGGAGGGGAGCATGTACAAATAAGGCATATCACCCCTTCTTCGTTAGTCGATATGAGATCTTACAATCCACCCCACTTAAGGGGAACCCAGCATCCTTGCCGGCATACCCGCACCACAAGGCAGAGTGACTCTGATACCAAATTGTCACATCCCAGTCTCGGCTCCACCGTAGCACGATATTGTTCGCTTTGGGCTTACCATTCCCTCACGATTTTGTTTCTGCGAATTCACGACCAATTTCCCAATGGGTCACCCATCCTGGGAATGCTCTCACCTGAACTCGCTTAACTTCGGAGTTCCAATGGAACCTGAAGCCAGTGAGTTCCCAAAAGGCCTCATGCTATAGGGAGGGGAGCATGTACAAATAAGGCATATCACCCCTTCTTCGTTAGTCGATATGAGATCTTACAATCCACCCCACTTAAGGGGAACCCAGCATCCTCGCCGGCATACCCTCACCACAAGGCAGAGTGACTCTGATACCAAATTGTCACATCCCAGTCTCGGCTCCACCGTAGCACGATATTGTTCGCTTTGGGCTTACCATTCCCTCACGATTTTGTTTCTGAGAATTCACGACCAATTTCCCAATGGGTCACCCATCCTGGGAATGCTCTCACTTGAACTCGCTAAACTTCGGAGTTCCAATGGAGCCTGAAGCCAGTGAGTTCCCAAAAGGCCTTATGCTATAGGGAGGGGAGCATGTACAAAAGGCCTCATAGGAATGCTCTCCCATGAACTCGCTAAACTTTGGAGTATCGATGGAACTTAAAACCAGTGAGCTCCCAAAAAGCCTCGTGCTATAGGGAGAGGAGCATGTACAAACAAGGCACATCACCCCTTCTCCGTTGGTAGATGTAGGATCTTACAATCCACCCCACTTAAGGGGAACCCGACGTCCTCGTCGGCATATCCGCACCGAATGACACAATGGCTCTGATACCAAATTGTCACATCCTAGTCCCAACTCCACCATAGCACGATATTGTCTACTTTGGGCCCCGGCTACGCCCTCTCGGTTTTGTTTCTTGGAACTCACAAGAGTTAATCGGAACTCCGAAGTTAAGCGAGTTTGGATAAGAGCATTCTCAGGATGGGTGACCTACTGGGAAGTTCTCGTGTAAGTTCCCAGAAACAAAACCGTGAGGGCGTAGTCGGGACCCAAAGTTGACAATATCGTGCTACGACGGTGTCGGAACTGGGATGTGACAATTTGGTATCAGAGCTACTTTGCCGTTCGGTGCGGATATGCCGGCGAGGATGTCGAGTTCCCCTTAAGTGGGGTGGATTGTAAGATCCCACATTGACCAACGGAGAGGGGGTGATGTGCCTTATTTGTACATGCTCCTCTCCCTATAGCACAAGGCCTTTTGAGAGCTCACTGAATTCCATCGAAACTCTGAAGTTAAGCGCGTTCGGGGGAGAGCATTCCCAGGATGGGTGACCCACTGGGAAGTTAGTCGTGAATTCCCAGAAACAAAACCATGAGAGAATGGTAAGCCCAAAGCGGACAATATCGTGCTACGGCGAATTCGATACCAAATTAGGTTGCCCATTGTGTGGCTTAGCCGAACTTCCCCTACTAGTATAAAAATATCGATGGACTAATAAAAAAATAAAAAATAAACAAACAAACATACAAACAGATTATAAATTAATTTCCACAACCAAATATCCAATATTTAGAAGGAATGCGGACAAGATGCTGAGAAGACGAGAATTTTCCTAATTTGAAAAGGAACAGAAATTACTTTCCAGTTATATCAAACAAAATTAATTCTTGGCTATTATTTATAAATACTGGTTTCCAATCGTTAATAGTAATAAGGTGGGCTTGAGTTTGGATAGCAAAAAAAGTTCCCAAGCATGAATAGGAACCTAATTCTTGGCTATATATATAAAACCAATACTCATCAGTGCTCACTTGATCAGTAATATTTCTATAAATCACCAGCATCAGCTCAGCCGCTGATACCGTTGTACGTATACTACTGATCAAGAAGATACATACATACATATCATAAAGAAACCATGGGACGCGTGAAGATCGAAATCAAAAAAATAACCAACAAGAACTACCTCAAGGCCACCTACTCAAAGCGGCGCAAGGGTCTCTGCGGCAAAGCCACTGATCTTTCCCGTTTGACTGGTTGCCAGATCGCCATTATCGTCTTTTCGCCTGGTAGCAGACTGTTCATCTTTGGGCACCCCTCTGCGGAAACCGTCATAGATCGCTTTCTTGCCCAACAAGCTCCATGCACAGATAATGATCATGAGGATGAGAGTTTTGAATCCATTCATGGTGTAGATGACCGTGAAGATTTAGAAAACAACCAAGAGGAATATAAACAAGAGGAGGATGACATGAATGACGCAAAGGTCAATTTTTGGTGGGATGAGCTTGTTGGTGAACAATTGGAACTACATGAACTCATACAATATAAGACTTTGCTAAATAAGTTGAGAGAGAATGTGGCTCGGAAGTTACAAGACATGAATCGGAGAGAACTTTGCACCATAGATTTTTTTGGAAAGAACACATACATAGGTGCTAGCACTACTTAATCACTAGTAGCGAGGAATGTGATATATTCGATTAATAATTGATTATGTTGTGAATTCTCGTTTCTATTTTGTTATAGTTCTGATCGTTTTAATAAAGTTTTTATTTTGTTCATGAAACTACTAGTACTAAACCAATGTATAAAGTTCGAGCCCAATGCCAATTCATATATATATATAGCTCCAATGCTTCTCCCATCTGAAAGTTCTCACCATTAGACGAGAATAATTTTTTTTTTCCTAAAGCGATAGAATAACATATTGCTTCCCCTGCACAAATTAGATGAAATCCGTAAACTTGAGGAACATGCAGCTGACAGTGCATTCTAAGTTGGAGCAACCTGCAAGTTCTCTGTGAACGTTTAAAAGATGTTGGAGTGAGTCCACATCCTTACAAAAGCGCCAAAGAGCTTATTGACATCATCATGAAGGATTCCTACATGCCAGATAAGTTCTCATTGATTGCCGTTAGATTTTAGAGGCGCAGGTAAAGAAGCAGGATTTCTTGAAATTTATTGTATGTCTCGAGACCTTTATTTTCCGTGCTTATATTGATGTACCGGAAAGATTTGCCTCAATATGGTTCTATACTAACCGTACTAGTATTAGTGACGGTTTCATGGGAGGAAAAGACTTTGTGAGTGTGGTGATGTGGTAGAAACTAACACACAAATTAAACCCTTTAATTGTGCAATCATAGTATGAGTAAGTAGGGATCGTTCTATTCTGGAGATTAGAAGGGATGCTAATCAACACAAATTAAACTTATAAAACTGAAAACTAAGTTAAACTAACATCAAAACAATGACTGGGTGGATTTTGGACGAATTTAATAAAAACAAAAGTAAAGGGCAGCAAGTAATCTAAGTTGTGAATGAAATATGGATGAAATGATAGCTAAAGGATTCTTCTCTATACATGAAACACATGCATACAAATCGATTTCCAGTTATTCTTCCTATAAACCATGAATGACAATGCCCCAAATTAATTGTGTACAACACTAATTAACTCTCAGATTTTCCTAAATTCATTGAATTGGACTCAGCGACACAACCAAATTATTCTTCTCAAGTTCCCTAACTATGAAAAGCATGATATAGATACATCTCAAAGATTATTAAGTATTGTGAAAATCATATGCATTGACAAAACATTCGTAACTATGAAAGCATGATACTCCTATCAAGAATTTACTTAACTCAATCATGACTAGTGACTTTTACTACTTACAAATATAAGTTCATAACGATTACATGAAATTCCCTTATATTCTAGCATCAAATCCTTGCATACAAACTAAGTATGCATCCTTAATAAATATACAAGAATAAGTTCTCTATAAAGCAGATAAGTAAATCGCATTCATGTCTTATGAAACAATAACTTGATGTAATCAATTTCTATAAAACATATGATCATGGCTTCGAATTCACCTCTAGCTAAAAAGAAACTTAGTTACACATGTTCATCATAACTGAAAAGCAATCTAAAATAAATATTGAAGCTTATAACAAAGATAGAAAGAACTCTGAAAATTCCAAAAACTTCAATGGATGAATGGTAGACATGGCATCCTTTAAAACGTACCGGAATTTCATATATATAGGGAGGGAATTGTGAATAGGATTCCTCCTTGCAGCTGGAGATAAGATAATGTAAGATTGGATAAGATAATATAAGGTTGGATAAGATAATGTTTTTCCCCAACTAGGATTCATCTTTCTTGTGTAATTCCTTACCTTACAAGGCTCAACTTTAATTTCTCCAGATTTTAGCATATATCTAGCATTATTTAAACACCAAAAACGTTCAGCCCATATGCTATCCACACATGCTATCCAATTCAAGTCCAAAACTGTTCCAAATTGCTCCATTTGGCTATTTATTGTCATCTTTACCAACTGAACCTACAATAATACGAAAATCACTTAAATTACCAAAATAAATGAAAATTAACCAAGTAAATACAAAGAAATAAGATAACAAAGTCGAATAAATATGCTCCTATCATGTGGCCCCTACTCTGCCTAACCCTTGGTGATGATAACATTCAAACTTCTGTTTTGTACGCACTCGAGGAAGCTCAAGTCCACCCGTTCTAAGAGATCAAGGGAAAGGACAAGGCAGTGGAGTTGTGCGTACTATTCACTATGAACAGTAGTCGTAAGAGGGTAAAGTGATGACTCATCCTCCTCCTGTCAAGGAGAGCTTAAATATGTGGAAGCTCATTTAGAAATCTATCAATTATTTGGCACTTCAATTTTTATGGTATTTTAGCAAATTTAGCCCTTCTCTAACGATAGGTATAACCCGCCAATACTTGGGTTTTTATACAAAACAGGCAACAGAGAAAAACCGTTGCCTGAACCCAAATTTTTTTAGAATCCGACCTTCAAAGATCTTTTATGCAGATTTGAAATAAGAATGAGATTAAATTTTTGTTATGTTATTCAATTATTGCGATTTGGAGATGTTCATTTACTGGAATATCTCTTAAGATGTTTTTTTTTTTCCTAACGAAACCTGAGAAATTAAGGTGTCATAAAGCCCCACAAAATATTGCCTAATGAAAAAGTTTCCAAGACATAGTAAAATGATGATGTGATAGACATGTATTTTGGCTAGTATCCATTTGCTTTCCCTCATAATTATCTTGACACTTAAGAAGTGCTTATTTCAAGCACAATTTAATCCGTGACTTGACTTATAAATGAAATCTTTGTACAAGGTTGCTGATAGGAGCATATTTAGGCGACTTACTTAGCTTGTTTTCGTGCATCTATGTTGGTAATTCATAGTTATTTTAGTCCTTTATGCTTCTTTTGTGTGTTTTCAGGTTCTAAGGGCTTAGGGAGCAAGAAAGTGCATTTTGAGGCTATTTGGGGCACTTTTGGGCATGGATTGGATAGCTTAATGATAGGAGCATATTTATGCACCTTAGTTTAGCTTGTTCTTGTGCATTTGTAGTGTTTTTCCTTAGTAAAGTAGTCTTTTAAGCTAGTTTTATGTATTTTCAGGTTTTAAGGGCAAAGTATGCAAAAGGATGCATTTTGGAGCCTTTTGGAGCAAATTAGAGCTTGGAATGGACATCATATGCTTGAAGCCAAGAGGATGGACGAAATTGAAGATTTGAAGATGATGTTCCCTACTTGAGCAAGGTTTCCTAGTTGAAGTAGGAAAGTCCCTAATGGAAATGGGTTTCCTAGTTGAAGATGGATTCCTAGAAGAATGAAGATTCCTACTCAAACAAGGTTTCCTACTTGAAGTAGGAAAGTCAAAATCCAAATGGTCTCAAGTGAAGCAACAAAGAAGTTTTCCAAGTCCAAGAAGGAAAAGGAGTTCAAGATGAAGAAGGAATGATGAAGACAAGGTTTCCTAATCCTAATAGGCAAAGTTTCCAAGTACAATGAGGAGTCCTTATCCATTTGGGACACCTTATCCTAATCCTATAGGGATGCCATGCACTTTACCTTATCTTGGAGGGTTTATAGGAGCCTTAGAAACCTTATCTTATCCTTGCCGTGGGTTTTATCCAATTCCCCTTAGTTTTAGGGCTTTCTAGAAGCCCTAAACATTATCCCTAAGCTTTGCCGCACCCTTATCCCTTTTTCCCTACAAATTTGGCACTTAAAGCATGATTTTAGGAACCTTATCTTATCTCCTACAAAGGTGGCGCCCAAACCCTTCTAGAAATCTGATTTCCCTTGCCTTGCAAGGCATTCTAGAAACCTTATCACCTTATCCCATACCTGCCGCACCTAGGAAGCATTATCCCTCTCTATTTCTGATTTCTAAGCCTATTTCCTAGTTGATTTGGGTTATTCAAGTCCATATCTGATTAGCCTAGGGTTTTAAGTGCCTATATATACTCATATTAACCCCTAGATCAGAGGACCACCTCTCATACCCATTCATTCACTCCAGAAATTCGTCCAAACCTCTCCACACCCTTGCCGCAGCCACCAAACACCCCTTTCCTTAGTTTTAGACCTTGGCCGCACCATTCCCTTCCCCTAAACACTACTACATCCCTCCATAACCATCCATCCATACACCTAAGGCCTAAAACTAGTCCCTAGACCCTTGCCGCACCAAGGAGGAGGAGAAGGAAGCTCGGAAGTTCATGCAATTCAAGTTCGCGTCGCTGGAATTTCTAGGTGTTTCTTTTCCTTTGATTTCAATGTTTAATTTCAATTCTCTTTGTTTTGTGCATATGAGGAACTAAACCCCCCCCTTGGCTAGGGGGGGATTCGAAACACATGTGTATGCTTGCAATATGATCTGATTACTTCTAATTGCGTTTCATAAGTTGTGAAGTCAATTTACTTATCTATGTGAATTACATTGATTTGTATGTGTTGGTTGAGAGTGCACGCTTAATTTTCATGCATAAATTGGATGCTAGGATATAAGGAAATTTCACCTAATCGTTATGGAATTATATTCACAAGTAGTAAAGGTTGATGATCTCAATCGCGTTAAGTAAATTCTTGGCATAAGTTTCATGCAATCATAGTAACAAGTGCTTCGTCAATGCTTATGGTTTTCATAGAACTTAATGATTCTTGCTTGTATCTCTATTATGCAATCATGTAGGGGACTTGTGGGGAATGTTTTGGGTTGTCGTATGCAATCATCCAATTCAATAACGTTAGGAAAATCTGAGGGTTAATTAGTGCAATTCACGGTTAATCTGGGGCGTTGAGAATTCATGGTTTATTGAAAAGCAATTAGAAATCATTTTGTGTGCAAGTATAACATGTGTGGAGATGAACCCCTTAGCTAGCTTCCCATCCATTCATTAAATCCAAATTCGTTTAAAATCTGTTCGTTTTACAAAGTTTTAAGTTTTGTTTTTAAATTCGTCCAAAACCAATCCCCCTTTACTTTGTTGAGTCATAGTAGTTAGAAATCACTTTAGTTTGTGTTTTTAAGTGTCTTAGGTCAAGTTAAAACCAATTTTCGTCCAAAGTTGTGTCTAGTGTTCAAAACTGCCCAGA